AAAAAATAGCTTTTATGCTTTTGAGTCTCTTCGAGCTCAAAAAGGCTGATAGAAGTTTGATAAAACAGTATTTTTTGAATTTTCAAACTGCAATAATTTCTAAATGAATAAATCAATTTTAACGCAGTTGGCAGTATTTCACGTACTTTTTCAGAATCTATGATAAACTTTTGAACACATTACTGATCAAACCGAAAATCTTGAGAAATTTGAAAAATTCACTTTTTCTGAATTTTTTCGACAACGATAACTCACGAACCAATGAACCAATTTTAACGTTTTTGGTGGCGATCGACGTGATTTTTTAGGCTCTAATAATTATTTTATGTCGTCAAAAACGATCCAAAAAGAAATGTCAAAGTTATGTGAAAAAAAACACTTTTTAACTTCCCGCTAAGAAAGTTGAAAATTTTCAAAAATCGGGAAGTTATTGTTTTCACCCCGTTTTACGAAAATCGAGTTTTCATCAGATTTCGACGTTTTGAGGTCTTACGATGCTTCCCTGACTATTCCCGCGATGGTGTCCGTGCGGCTGTATGTGTGTGTGTGTGTGTTGTTTTTTTTTTTCCGTTAGGGGGGGGGGAATCCTTTTTGCGGATTCCAGGCAGAGCTGCTTGGCCTGGATATGTGGCGACTCGACGCAGCGTCATACTAAAACTCGACGCTGACGCCCCTACCCACTAAACCCTAAGCCCCTTTCTCTTCTATCCTCTGATCCCCTATGGTACCGCCGTAAGGCATTTCTTCGCGGGGGGAGGAATTAGCTGCCGCTCTTCCTTCTGGTGGCTAAGATGTTATCTTCCTTCTAGATTCTGTCTTTTGCTCTTTTTCTCTCGATGGAACGCAGCTCTGTAAGCACTTCTGTGGCGAAAGTGTTCGTTGCATTCCAGGCAGCTTCTGAAGACAGCATTGCTTCTACGATTGTCTCTGATTGAATTGTCTTCTTCAAGATCTTCTCCAGCTCCTCACGTTGTTGATTGAAACGCGAGCACTCGAAAAAAACGTGCTCTGCATCTTCAGTGGCTCTAGGACAGGACGGGCACTCCGGAGAGTCGTCATGCCTAAAGCGGTGAAGATAAGCCCGAAAGCAGCCATGTCCTGACAACATCTGTGTTAGGTAATAGTTGACCTCACCGTGATTCCGATTCAGCCAAATGTCGATCTTTGGTATGAGACGATGCGTCCATCTACCCTTCTCTGCGGCATCCCACTGAGATTGCCATCGTGCGATGCTGTGCTGTCTTTGTTCCGTTCTGAGTTCTTCTGCGCTCAGTGTTGTTGACCTCTTTCGTTGGTAAAGGTTCCTTCTTTCTTCAGCTAGGACTCTGAGAGGTAGAGTTCCAGAAATGACGCACACTGCTTCCTCAGATATTGTGCGGAAGGCACAAGCTACTCTTAGGGCACTCAGACGATATATTGGTCCAGCCTTTCTCCATGCTTCTTGTAATTCTAGCGCATCGGCCCAAATAGATATTCCGTAAGTGAGCACCGATGTGACTACTGATGACAGTAATAGCCTCCTGCTCTGCTTTGGGCCTCCGACGTTAGGCATCAATCGTGCGAGGCTTACCCTTACTACTGACGCTTTGGCACTGACGTGTTCCACTTGCTGTTTAAAGTTGAGACGGGCATCAAGCATCACTCCCAAACATCGGATATAAGGTTGTGATGTGATTTCTTGTTCGCCGACTTTCAGCTTAATGGTCTCTACCACTTTTCTGCTAGTAATAAGTACTGCCTCAGTCTTATGGTGCGCCAGTTGCAGGTTCACTGCGTCCATCCACCGGTTGACGCGCTCAAAAGTGAGATCGAACATATGTTTTATCTCGTCAACGTG